ATAGTCCTTCAGGATTCTCTGTACAACTGAGTCATCAGCATATCTTAAGTTATTTATTAATTTACCATTCACTTCTATGCAATGTCCTGAGCCTTTGAGTATCTTTTGCAATACAATATCAGAGAGTACATAGATAGTATAGGGTACGCAGCCCTGTCGGACTCCACGTTTAATTGGAACAGCTTTTATTGGTGCGTTTTGAAACCTGGCGTTGATATAGATAATGAACGATTTTTAGGTCTTGGGAGTCTAATACTTTTCTTTCTAGAATTTTTAATAGCGAAATAATGTTTGACACAGTCTAATTCTTTAGGGTAATATGAAACATAGATGATATACTTCTTTCCGCTAATCTCGATATTGTTGCAGCAGGACTAACAGCGCTAACAAAGCATCTCTGCTTCCGAATGTTTCTTGAAAGCCTATTTGTAGTTCCCTCAGATCCTGTTCGCAGGTCCTGCATACTTGACTCCTTAGGCTGATATTAAACAGTATAAGATTTCTAGGTTTTCTTCCGAGTATCAGAAATTGATATATTATATCGTCTGGTCCAGCGGCTTTACCTTTTTTAATTGTCTCACAACCTTATGTTTCTGAGATCATTATACTTCTTCTAATTCTTCTTAACATGCCATACACCAAAGTGCGTAGGCGACTATCTTATTGCTAGAATTCTGTTCTTGGCGGCGTGACACAGCTCACCTGTATTGTATATTCCTGTCCATTCTTTAATATTCCTTAACCAGGATAATTGTTTGCGGCCGGCTCCTCTCCTACCTTCGATCTTCCCTTGTAGGATTAACTGTGGTATTTCATATTTTGCTCCTCTCAATATGTGCCCAAGGCAACCAATCTTGCGTTTTTTAATTAATTCAAAGAGTTCTCTTTCCACGTCGGCTCTATTAAGGACGTCATCGTTTCGAACTCTATCCACCCAAGGTATGCATAGCATATCATTCTTCTCAATGACCACATTTCAAATGCTTCAAGTTTGTTGATAGATGTCTTTTTTTAAAGTCCACGTTTTTATAAAGCAAGATGGACCATATGCAGCACTTGACCATTCTGTAGCGTATTTCGAAGTTTAGGTGTTGATTACATAGGAGCGGTCTGAATTTCACAAAAGCTTGTCTTGCCATTTGTATTCGGGTTTTTATCTCGTGTTGTGGATCCGATTGGTCATTGATTGTGGTGCCAAGGTATTTAAAAGTTTTCACGCGATTTATACGATTGTCACCTATGATTATACTTAGTCCCCATCATTATACTATATCATTATACTTAGTCCCCATTTATGTCTGATGTTAGTTACGAAAAGATGTACCTCCGTTGTTAAAACCATCGGAAATATAGTTTGTCCATAGTTATTTCATATCTTGTGTGTCGTGTATGTATTTTTTTACCCTAAGCTATCTTAAATTTATCTCCAAGATGCTCGAAGACGAACTTCACTACTCTGTATTATAATAAAAGACAAGATCTTGGAAAAGTAAGAAAGGTTTCAGTAATATTTGTTATCAAAAAAAATTATAATAAATACATGGCTGAAGCCTTTTAATTAAAGCTCAATATCTTTCATAGTTGGTTTCATGAGTCCAAGTTATCATTTTTGAACTTTTTCAGATTTTTAGTTACATTTCCCTTACGGATAAAAAGTTTCCTTGTATAACATATATATTTATACTTAACAGCATTTCCGAATTTGCAGGAATTTAATAAAGAAATAAAAATATAGATGTGTGGAAACAAATGAGAAAACATAAAAAGCACACCCTTATATCAGATACTCTCATCCTTATCCTGACACTACACGTTTCCCTGACACTGATTTATTCCGATGTGAGGGCAACTGCGGGAGGTCTTGTCTGTAACATTACACCAAAATTGTAAATGTAGAAAAAAGAGGTATAGGGCAGATTTCCGTGCAGAGGCGTAGACGAAATCAGCTAAAAGTAATCTTGTATGCGATTTTTAAATCAGTTAGGTACTTATTATATGTAATGCTAACATACATTTATGCGCTATAAAACACATACATTTTTTATTAATCACCGTCATAAATAAAGGGACTCTTAAGATTGGGATAAAATTTATTCAATTGTTTTTTCATTTGTTTTTTCAAATTTTGGTAAAAAATGAACAGGGTTTAGTAGAATACCCTGCTGCTAATTTTTATCAAGAAATGTCTTTCAAATGGAATATACTATAAGAAAATGACAACTATTATCTTGCTCTTACTTCGACGTAACAAGTAAAGTTTCAGTTGTTTTCAATATAAATGTCAGTTCTGTTAATTTTTTTTATTGAGTTAATGCCTCGACAACTAAGATCATTGGCATGGTACAGTCAGGTACCTAGTGTAGTGTGTGTGTGTTGTAGAGTAATTGTCTTGATACTTAGCAAAGTCGACGTCATTGACTTTGCTAAGAGACGCTAATTATATCCGAACGTCTGCGGTCCCTCCGGTGAGTACTGATGGCACAAGGATAGAAATTATTTTCATTCATTAATTTTTAATAAACGAAAATTTCTCCACCCAGATGAGATTCGAACTCACGACCTTTAGGTTTAAAGGTAGGCGCTCTTACCACTGAGCCACAGAGGGGGTTAGTTCTGTTAATTGATTGTCATAAATATTTATTATATGGCTTTCGTCAATTAGTGCTAATTTTAAGACGTCTGTGTTGCTCCCATTTAGGATGAAGGAATGGAAAAAGGAACTTCATAGTGCTCACTTTAAATACATTCAATGGTAAATTCAAACAAAAAGGGTCTCACAAACTTCTGCTTGTTAGGCAAAAATACTTTTGGAGCTTCAAAACATTGAACTTACGAGTAATTACAGGTAAAGTGGTGCCATAGTTGAATCTGTAGGTACTGGGTTACCAAGCAGGAACGTCTCGGATTCAATCCCAGCCAAGACACCAGATATTTTTGAATTTTTAATTTAACTGAGCCGCCACCGTCTTCGAAGTGCACGTAAAGTTATCGGTCCCGGATAAGTAAGTAGTCGTTAACATTAAGAAATCTGAGCGAGGAGGTTACATGAATGTGCAATAAGCCAATTGGCTGTAGGACAACCAGTTATAAGAAATTGGTTAAAGTTTAAGCAGATTAAATCTATTAATACTAAACAAATTAAAACAACTACCAAAGAAAGCCATCACTAAACTTATATACCACTTTTTACTGAAGTATGTTCCTAAAATGTGGAAAGTAGCAGAAGTCATAATGATTGAAAAATCTGGAAAACCGCCGATAAGGTCTAAATTCAACAGGGCTATTTTATAATTGCCTATATTTTCAAAATTATATCAAAAGATCCTAATGAAAAGACTGAAGGTCATTATCCAAGAAAAGAGATTAATTCAGTTTTCTTTTAGAAAACTTCTGTGGAGGTTTCAGGATACCTCGGCCAGTTGTGTAGGTATGAATCAGGCTAGGCTCCACATAATGAGGTAGTGGGGCCATCCAAAAATCTTACAGCCCAACTTCGCCTTCTAGACCGTAGAAGGTGCTCTCTGGTGGTCAGCATGCTTACTGGTCACTGTAGACTCAGGCAGCACCTTCACCTGCTTGGATTATCGAATAGCCCACGGTGCCGTCTTTTTAATGATGACAAAACCTCCTCACGTGTCCTCTGCAACTGCCCGACCCTAGCTTACCAGAGGTGGCAGATCCTCAACTCGATCTTTATGCAACCGAGCCAAATAAGAGAGTTATCCTTAAAGAGACTTGTGGCTTTCTGTGAGACCACAAGGTTACTAAAGGATTAGATGTTTAGAATGGCAGGAAGAGCTTAGACTCAAAGCCCCTGCTGTTTACTGCAGATATGGGAACCCAGAAACGCCAAAGAATAGGTCCTTATAGGCCTATTTTGTATGATAAGGGTGACACAATGAACCCACTTTAGGAGGTCTAGGTATTTTAAGGGCTCATAAATGGGTCCTGCCACTATCTACGATAACTATAACCTAAACCTTTTAGAATAAGCCACTCAATGATATACCAGGTACATAGATAGAGTTACTAACACCATTGACAAGCCACTAGAGGAAGAATTCTTAAGGAGTCACTTGAAGTGATCTTCTTGGATAGGAGCAAAGCTTTCGATAAAGTGTGGTACGAAGAACTTATCCATAAACTGAATAAAGCACTAACGGGGCAGTATTTAATTCCCAATTATTAAAGTCGTATTTAACTGAAAGATACTTAAGAATAAAACCGGTGGATTCCTACTCAAAGGAAATCAAGGCAGAAGTACAGCAGTATACTCTCTACTTATTATACCCAAGCGATATCTCTAAACACAAAAATTAAACAACTGCAACTTTTGCGGACAAAAAAGATATTTTAGCAGTGGGAAACAATCACAAAGAAGTTGCAAGAACTCTATAATCTTCAGTGAACAAAATCAATAATTGTACGAAAAAATGAAGGATAAAATTGAATGAGACCAAATAACTGCGTGTAAATTTTACTAATTAACACATGCAATACGTGCCAATTGAAATAAATGACACTCAGATCTCTATTGCACTTACTGCCAATATACAGATATTGTAAGTTTAAGGTTCTTAGCAAATGTTTACTTTATTTTCAAGGTATTTGATTACTTTTTTATACTTTTTTTGAAATATATGTCACATTTAATATTTATTACCAAGTAACAAAACAAAATAATTTGTTTAATTTGTATTTCGAGAAATATTTCCGAAGTGGAAATCAAAAGGTCAAAATAAACGTATTTTCAACTGAAATTATAGTCCCATTATAGATAATAAATAACACTAAAATATCACGAGAACATAACTTCCGAACAATATGTCACATTTATCTCAACTATTCAAAAAATTAAAAGTTATATTATATGCCGATTTAAAACCTTTTGTCGTCTCCGCCTATGGCGCCGAGCTCTTGTGCAAGTCCCTTCAGACCTAAGGGCGCAGTTGGGGTTAACATCTCGTTATGTAAAGTGTCTGTTTACAGGAATAACTTACGCACATTCGACTCGGCCATAATTCTCACGGAATGGCGGCTGTAGACAAAATGATGATGGCAAATGCCTCCCCAACAACCATTCCAGAGGTCATTTCTAATCTTCTAATAGTTATTCCGTAATTTATTAAATTAGGCGGCCTTCTAGCACACAAAGATCTCGGTAGGTATATGGTAAGAAGGGCGACAGAGACAGTTTTTCTAGTATTTTTTTTGTAGGATGAGTTTACGCCCATTTGGGAATTTAACAACAATAGATTTTAATATATGATGGTGTCCATTGTTTTTTTTTTGTCAGAATGTTGACGAGGATACAATAGAGCTCTTAAGTGTATTTAGAAGTTCAAAAGAATTAATGGTTTTTTTTTATTGACCATTTCTAGCATATACCAAAACTCTATCAATACAATAAATGTATTTGTTTTTCAGTTTTTGTACAATAACAATAAAACGTTTAACCAGATGTTTCTAAATATGAAATACAAATCTCTGTGAATTACCTAATTCAATTTATAAGATACTTTTTTACTTGTGTTGTATGTTAATGATCGTTTAAAATCTTTTCCTCTCATTTTTTATTCGCCTTGGATGATTTGGAATATTTCACGAATCAATGGAGAAGTCACTGTTAAATTTATGAACACACTGCACATAAAATATAAAACTATGAGAATTATTGATCAAAAAAATTACCAGATGAAGATTTATTATAGAGACATTCAAAAAGAGATGGGAGGTTCAATAACAATAGTCGTAAACTTGGAAACTGAAATTGGAGAGAGAAAGGAACCGACCAAGGTTGTAGAGGAAGACAAGTAACAAAACAATTTCATTTCATATCATCTGTGTTCTTTCTGGCGTACTTTCCGCAAACAGGCTATTTTTTATGTGATAGCAAACTCTATTATGCCTGTTTTATACAATGATATATATCAATCAATCAATCAATCAACATTCTTTATTTCATCTGACTTTTACAAGTATTGAAATGCGTCAAAATACAATCTAAAAAACTAGAGATACATAGGTAGTAAAAAAAAGTAAAAACTATAAGCACAATCATAAAACATAAAATATACACAAAAACATACAAATTGTTAAAAAGATGCCTGCAAGTATTCCTGTAACGAATAGAAAGTGTTTGCCAGAAGTAATTTCTTAACTGTTCTCTTAAATACATAAATATTTAACTCTTTAACATAATTAGGTAATTTATTATACAAACTAACGCATGTTGGGTAAGGACCCTTGCCCAGAACAGTCAAGTGACGAGCAGGGGTCACCAAATCATTTCTGTAACGAAAATTGTAGCCACTCATTAAGGAAACATCATTTCTGCAAATAAAATTACATCTATGTGACTTTACATATACAACACAACTGAAAATATACAGCGAAATTACAGTTAAAATATTTAATTGTTTAAAAATTGGTCTACAGGAATCCAAGCGCCTTCTAAACGTCATGGTACGAATAATTTTTTTTGAAGAACTAGCACCTCATTAATACGCGAGAAATTTCCCCAACAAACTAAGCAATATTGCAAAATTGACTGTACATGAGCAAAATAGTAAAGTTTCAAGATTTCTAGGGAGACAAAATTCCTAAGTTGCCATAGAACATAACAGTGTATGGTATGGTATGGTATTCAATTATAATTGTTCTGTGATCTAGAATTCTAGATTTCTGATTTTCAATACTGTGTTGCCAAAAGGCAGAATTGTTATATCATATAAGCACCTATAGATTTTTATTCAAAGTTGTCCATATGTCAAAATATGGTTATGTTCTTCGGTATATTCTTTTTTTTGTTGCAATGCTGTCCTATATCCTCTATTCCTCTATCGTAGATTATTACTTTGGTAAATCTATGTCTGAGCAATCGATAGTTTAAAATCTATTTGTACATCCAGCCAGACCAGTCCATTGTCTAATATTTATGTCATATTATTCTGCCTTATTCCACGTTTCTCCCCCAGTATTCCTTCTTGAAACATTACTTAGAAAAACTCCTATTTTTGATTCCCTATTCTCATTATATGTAGAAAATATTCTTGATTATACCAAATACAGTAGCTCTTTATAGCTGCTCTTTAAAAACCTCATCAGTGCCCATGCGTTCGCTTATTAACCATTTTCATCTTTAACACTTAGACTGTCGCCATAATGAAAAAAAGAGGGTCCTTCCAGCCGGACATATTTCAATCCCATATAAATAACATACGAGCGAGAATCAAAAGCTGATTCTCGCGGCAACAGAATCAAATTGGCCGTGCATCACGGCATGCTTCTCATGGCAGTCAAAGTGTTAATATATTAGATAATTTAAGAAATCCTATAAAAGACGAATAATAAAAGAAAAAGTGACATAAAGATGACTCTAAAGGACCTCACCAAGACTGCTGCATTGCACCTAAGCAATTAAAGATTTTTTTGAAGGGTGTTTTGGAGATAATGTGAACCTATGGGTTCACATTAACGATTATCATCTGTTCAGCTTACTCTTGGAGATACACAAGTAAAACTTACAGAATAACAAGATTCTACCAAAAATAGATAAAGAATATACTAAGTGGAGTTCATCAGTTAATCCATCAAAGTACGTAATGGTAGAAAGAAGACAATTAGAACTATGAGGCACATATATCGAAAATTCCTATAGTTATAAATACCTTACTGTAACCATTACAAACGAAGGTCGGAAGACAAAAAAAAACTAGAATTTGACAAGGTAGTTCAGCAATACGTCAATTGAAGAGTATTCTCTCGAATACAATCGGAACATAAAAATTCATACCATTTTCTTTGCCTTTGTCCCTCGCGACTTCACTTATTACATTTCTCCATAAGTTTCTATCTCGAGTCATATCAATATTAAACACTTTACCTTCATGTCTTCTCTAAGCGTCTCCTCCCAGGTCTTTTTTGGTCTTCCTCTCCTACTACTTCCAGGAACTCGCAAATACTTGCAGCAACTCTTCATATTAAGTGATTAACGTTTCTGTGTCGAACATGACCAAACCATCTTAACCTATGCTACCCCTAGACTTCCCCTAATATACTCATTCCTAATTTTATTCTTTTTTGTCACTACACTCATCTATCTAAGCATTCTCATTAACTTAACATTCAGTTCCATACATCATAGCTGGTCTTATGGCTGTTTTAGAGAATTTTCGCTTCGGCTTCATTTAAATTATTCTGTCACACAACACAGCACTCGCTTTCTTCCACTTCATCCATTCAACCCTAATACTACTGCATGCATCTCCATCTATTTCCCCATTATTCTGTAACACTGATGCTAGGTACTTAACACCATTCTTTTTACCATCATTTCAGCATCCAATATCAATTCATTCTTTTTGTACTAACTCCATCTTTAAATGAACATTCCAAATACTCTGTATCATTTTACCTTAACAGCTTGTCTGCACTGTTCCAGTTTTTGTTATAAGTCGCTTTTGACTTAGAATTGACATTGACATCAGGAAACTATAAAAATAAAAGGCTGAAAGGATATGGCGATGTCGAAAAGATAAATTATCAAGGATATTCCAAACTGAATGCCACAGTGGATCCACATCAACCACAGAAAAAGAGGTACAGCAAGAAGATTTTGGAGAACAAGTAATAAAGCTGCAATGGAAGATAGATGTCCAAAGTATTGCGAGCATTAGAAGTTATGATGCGATAAACGGTGACCACTGTAATAAATTGTAGCAACCGTAGCTCAGTGGTACTGGCATATGAAACCGGTGGCAGACGCACAGATGCCAGCAATTTTTTAATTACTAATTTAACTGAGCTTCCACCATATTTCGTACAACACATAAAGCCGTTGCTCCTCCCATTCGTCTCGTTGGTAAAAGGACATAAATCATTGACAGAGTTCATTGTAGAATACACTGGAATCGGATAATTATAGAAATGTGATACCAATAGGAAAGTGAAAGGTTCTTCTTCTTTTGTGGCTTTATTCTTTTCTATTCATAAGCATGTTGTCTATAAGAAGCAATGCCTATATTTCGCAAGTCTTTTTCATTGTCAACTCTAGATATAATGTTGGTCTTCCTTTGTCTTTGCCTTCTACTGGCTATCGTAACGTTGTCTCTCTTATTGATGACATTTCTCTTATCAGCATTACATATATATCATTTTATATTTGATATAATTCGAAGTTAAATTATATTCTCTTCTTATATCATATATACCTTCAGTTTTGCACGTCATACTTTCCTTTCTGAGTACTAAGTACTAAGCTGTATGGGACATGTGATGAGAAATAGAGGCAGCTACGAGCTACTTCAATGCATTTACAAGGTAAAATTAAAGAAAAAAAGGCCCCAGGACAAAGAAGAATATCCTGGATTGCTAACCTGAGAGCATGGTATAGAAAGACCTCAACACAGCTATTTCATATAGCAGCCAACAAAGTCGTCATAGCCATAATGATCGCCATCGTTCGGAACGGACAGACACCCTAAGAAGAAGAACCTTCCTTTCAGCGCATATTTCCTCAATTTTTTCTTATTGCCACCCACCTTTCTACCGCTTATGTTAGAAGAGCGGATTAGGGTTATATTTTAAGTTTTTGATTTCTTATAATACATTTTGATATTATTAGTAGGATAGCTCACCATAGCAATTGTTGGATGCCAATACTATTTTTTTTTATTTTATAGGGATTATCGGTATTAACATTTACAAGTGAGTCTAAGTAGACAAATTTATTTACTCCGTACTGTCAATTTTGATTTTACTTAGTACAATAAATTTTGTTTTGGATAGATCATTGATTCGACCTATCTTTTTGGCTGCTTTTTGAAGGAGAATGAAAAGTTTCGTTTATTATATTTTTGTTCGACCGATATTATCTAGATCGTCTGCCTTAACAAGAAATATCTGTATCCTTTTGTTAAAGGTAGTAAGTAAAAATTAATCTTTGAGATTGCCTAAAATAGTATTGGAAGCAAAAATAAGGAAGTTTTAAATAACCAAACTGTAAAATCATTCTGTAA